AAGAAAAATGGTTATAATGAGGTGAGAGAGTAAAAGGATGATAATGAGGCGAATAAGAAAAATGGTTATAATGAGGTGAGAGAGTAAAAGGATGATAATGAGGCGAATAAGAAAAATGGTTATAATGAGGTGAGAGAGTAAAAGGATGATAATGAGGCGAATAAGAAAAATGGTTATAATGAGGCAAAGGAGAAGAAGGATGATAATGAGGCGAAGAAGAAAAATGGAAGATCATGAGACGAAAAAAAAAAATAAGCGAAGTAAATGAAATATAATCCGATGAAAAAGCGAAAAAAACGGCAATGTTTTTTCGGCTGTGCAAACAAATCGTATCTGCACGGAAAGACATGAACTTAGAATGTGTGAACAAAATCAATATACCATTCGGTTAACATTTCCCGACTGACCCCCTCAAAACATCACCAATATAAAGAAAACCTGATTTGGTAATCATAAGAAAAATGATCTGCAAATTTGTCAATCGATTCCTCAACACCGATGGTTTGGTTTTCATAGAATTGGAAAGAGGATTTACCAAATTATAGACCAACCATAAGGAATAGACCTGGTTTGATAACAATCAAAAAAGGGGAAAAGATGTCCTATGAACAGATCTTTGTACGAACCTTAATTTGAAAATGAAACAAAAAACTAAATAAAATAGCAATTACAATAGCTGCATCTTCAAGTTTCCCTGAGCGCAATGGAGGGTGAGTTCCAGTGTAAACGCTGAGTCGTTATTTCAAATCCTGTGCTCTCTGTTCACTACCGTAATTGAATGACATGAATCAAGATGAATTTAAATTCCAGTTAAAATTAATAATGTGCTGTGGTAAACCCTCTTTCAGTATAATGAACACTTCTTTCTCTCATAAATACAAACCTCGAGAGCCGGACGGGAGCGCAGAGTGTGAAGTGAAGTGGAGTAGTAGACGCAGTGCTAATCTTCTTATTACTAACACTATTGTTTTGTATATATCTTCAATATACTTTTTTCAACCGGGTCTTTCTTTCTGTCCCCTAAACAGGCCACAGCCTAATGAGACAATTTTTCACCATCTAACAAATGTATATGCAATTTACGACGAGTAAAAATTATTAATAATAATACTTGACAATGTTTCATCTAATGAAAATTGAGATGAAAATAGAGACTAGTCAAAAATTATTAATAATAATATTTGTGGGTGACGGGTTATTCCCATCCTACAACCCCTTTTCACCGCTCTTGACAATATCGCTGTTTCATTGGTAAATGTAAATTTTCATTAGGTGAAACATTGTCAAATATTATTATTAATAATTTGTGACTACTCTTTATTTTCATTTTCAGAATTAAAAATGAAAATAAAAATAAAGACGTATTGTGTTGTGATATAATACTAGTTCCAAAATATATTTTACTCATTCCTAATAATTAAAGTGTTTTCGTTATCTATGTTATATCACTCTCTTTCAGAATTTAACTTATATAACCTCTCATCTTCAACATGAAAAACGCTTGCATTTACTTTTTTTCATGAGTTTACCCAAACTGCTGCCAACATTAACAGAACATGCGGTGAAACATCCATTTGTGACTGGTCAGTACGTGGATGGTTTCTGAAGTTCCGCAATTGGGTTACGATTCCTGAAGATCAAGTGGGTAGGAAACGTCTGCAATTGACAATCACATATCTGAAAACACGAGTCGATCAAAGTGCAAGTCAAAAGGGTCAAAACATGTCCCAGATAATTGGTGTCAGTATTGCAAATTTTCTTGAGATGTTTTGATATTGATCAAAACATCTCAAGAAAATTTGCAAGATGAAGAAAACTAGATAAATGGGCTCTACATGAATTAGTGAAAGTAAAAGAGTTTGAAGTTTTGAAGTGTGTTCAATGTTGCATCTGTGAAATGATCCATTTCTTCATCGACTTGGGATGAAAAATTGATCGTTTATAATAATTGTAAACAATAGACCGGCTTGATTATGACAATGCACCTAAACACTTTCCGAAAGCAAAATTGCATCAACTGAAGATTATGGCGACTGTCTATTTGTCTAGCAATGGCTTTATCCATTATAGTTTTCTAGAATCTAACCAACGAAATCTACTGCCAACTAAATAAAATGTGCATTCTATTAAGCCAAATGCAACCGACACTGGTCAATCCGCGAGTTAAAATTCCGCTTCATAGAAATACTCGGTAAAATATTGACATGATTACAATTACCAACTTGGGATACCAGACTTTGTCACATTCACCATATTCCCCTGATCTTCCACCCACTGACTACCATTTTTTCAAGCCTATTGAAAAAAAATACTTAAACCAAACGTCATTCTTTTGCAAAGAAGATGCGGGCATTATAATCAAAGTTTTCTTAGGGTCAAAACCCTTTTCTTAGAGTGCTTTATAGTAAAGACCTAAATGACCTTGTAACAATAACAGAAATATATACATGTTTAGTGTTCGCAATTTGACTGATATAAACACTGTTTAAATACATTAATTCAAGTACAAAAGTTTATTCTAAAATCGGACATTATTTTCCGAACAACCTAATATTAACAACTTCCCCCTTATCCATTGTAGTTCTCAATATGGTTTCTCCTTTTGCTACTTCTCCTTTAACTACTTCTCCCAGATTCCGTTCTCTCATCCATCTTTTGTCTCTCTTTCCCTCTATCCACCATGTGAGTATCAGATTCTCCAAGTTCTCCTTTCTCATTACCTGTCCCAGAAATTTCAGCTGCCTCTTCTTTACGTATAAGTATAAACTTCCTCCTTGTTTGCATCCTCTCCAAAACCTTATTGCTGATCACCTTTTCGGTCTATGGTACCCTAATCTTCTATCTATAGAACTATACATCGGTTGCCTCGAGTCTCTTTTCATCAATCAGGAGGCCAACATTCGCTGCCGTAAAGAAGGACAGGTATCAGATATCAGTTCAATACTCTTTGCTCCTGTCTTGTAATACTCTGCTTAGCTTTTGGAATACGTCACTGATCATCCCAATACTTTTCGGATTTCAGCGTCGCACTTACCGCCCTCTGTCAGAACACTTCCCAGATATTTAAATTTCTGCACCTGCTTGATTTTAGTGTTCCCGACCTGCAAATCGCATTTCGGGCTCATCTTTTTACTGATGACCATTCATTCTATCATTTTGTAGTTTATGCTTAGTCCCTTCTTCTCGCTCTCCTTCGCTACATTCTGTAATAGCTTTTGTAATTTTCTTTCCGTGTCTGCTATCAGCAGTATCATCAGCGTATCTTATGTTGTTAAGATTGTGGCCGCTAATGATGAATCCTGGTATGATTTTCAGTTCTCTCAGAATTACTTCTCTGTAAGGTTGAATAAGTCCGGTGAGAAGACACATCCTTGTCTTACGCCACTTTCTCTTGTTGTATATCTGCTGAACTCATTTTCTATCCATATGCAGTTCGGTTGCTGGCAGTATAGGTTCTTGATTATTCTAATATCTTTCACAAATATATCAAAGTTGGTGAGCAGTTGCAACAGATCTTTGTGGCGTACTTTGTCAAACGCCTTTGCGTAGTCTATAAGAAACAGGTACATGTCCTTCTGCAATTATAGTGTTTTTTCTGATAATATTCTGATGATGACGAGACACATAAAACCACAGAAACGCCTTTCATGGGATGGCTGTCTCTATACACCTAAAGCAGGAGTTGATAATTTAGCAGTTTCTCCAGTATATTAAGCACTATGGATTATTGAGTGATTTGTTTGTTTTTTTTTATGACTTGTCAACCCTTTTGAGCAATTTAAAGCTGAAACATGTTTTGGCTTGTAAGAATATTATTATTTTTTTTCGCAAATCAATATTGCAAAAAATTTTTCCAGAATATCGAGTATATTTCCAGATAGACGTTCTATTATTTAATCTATTGCTGGGGACGAGGTTGGATTCATACTTTTCCGAAGTGCATTTCCCGTAAGTGAATATAATTAATCTGACTGGAATTTGAACTCTGCTCTCCGATTTCTCGCTCCGATCCTATATCTATTACTCCACCCGCACATCATTTGAGAATACACATGATTTTTCAAGACTGAGGTTTTACTATTTAACTCTCATCCTGTGGAGGAGGTTCATCTTTTGGAATAGCTTGATAGTCTTGCATGGTAATCGTCAACCCACAATACATGTAGGAGTTTGATTGATATTTTACACAGGAATATTTGTCAGTAACTAATGCCCCTTCTGCAGGATGATAATGACAAGATAAAACCCAGTGAATTATTAAACATTACAGTCACAACCTAGGTCTAAGAATGCAATCATGCAAGCCAATATTCTGTAGCATAAATCAAAGCTATTCTACCGTTTCGTCTCTGGCTCCAAGTCTTCCGATACCAACGCTACTTCAAAGACAGTATCAACAAGGGACAATTTGACTTTGCACACGCTTTATTTTATAAGGAACAGTAGAGATTCTTAGCGAGAGGGTGAGGACACATGTCAACTGGTTGGCTAAAATCTAGTTACCACTTGCTGACTTGCTTTAGGAAGTATTCTGGATGTGGCGAGTTAGCTTGAAACTTCTGTTTTTTTGCAGATGTCTGAGTGACTTCGTAAAGTTTTGGTCTTACATATAAACTTAAACAAAGACAATTCATCATCGCCAATTCACTCCAACTCAGAGTTCTAACCAGCAGCTTGCCATTCTTGGCTAGTATACGCATTCTATTACATTAACTAATCCCTACATAGCAAAAATGATTGCAAAGACACCAAATTAAAGGAATGGCTCTCGGCCTTTTACGATATTTATACAGTAGAAAATTTGTGAGCCATTTTTAAAAGAAATGCATATGACAATGGAAAACGATATTCAAGTAAAGATTATCTCTGAGAAGCCATAAAACAGCGGTAAGTTATAATAAAGGCAAAAAATAGAAAGTTAACAAAATCAATCCCTGAATTATAATGGAAATAATGGAATCAGAGAATGCCAAGGAAGAAATATTGACATGTAAAATAAT